GTTGCAGTCCTCTTAGGAAATAATCACTGCATTCTAACATATATACTGGACACTATTCAGCAACGCCAATCATACTTGAGAACACAACTTTGCTCATAACAAAAAGCGCAAGCGACAAGCTACCAAAACATGTCAAGGAATGTGTTTCGTTCTACGACGTCTTGAAAGAAACCATGTTAGCAAAAAAAGGAAAAAGGCATTATCCAAAGCCGATGACAAATTTGACACTGGTCGCGGCATACGCTTTTCAGAGTTATTCTGTAGTGATCATTGAAGCAAATGGTTGGTACGGGTAAGTTCAATGCTCAATTCAAAAATTCTTCAAAACGTTTTTTTTCAGACAAAAAGTATATTGTCATTACTATGACATAAACTGGAATAAACTTGACTCTCCTGTAGAGTCGATGGTCTTTCCCGAGTTTGCCGTCCACTGCTGTAGACATCCTAGAGCTTTTTACATGGCAATAAGCAAAAACAAGGACGAGAAATTGAGTTTGAGAGTTCCTGTGATTGATAGAACTGTGGATAGTAAGTATACATTGCAGACATTTTTTACTTTTTCTCATCTAGCTTTCTTTTGGGTCCGGTATACAATTTGTCAGTGTGCCTTGCACCACTTTATGGTAACGAGAGCAAATGGCTGCTGTTCGCGGAACTTATTGAACATTATAAATTGCAAGGTGTGCAGCATTTTTACATATATGTCAAAGATATCGACGACTACTCCCGCTTAGTGAGTCTATGAGTCTATAGATCTTTTTGGAACATAAAACAGCATAAACGTTCAGCTTATTGATGACTATGAAAAAAGTGGCGAAATTGAAGTGATATACTTCAAAAAAGAACAAGACAGGCCTGCGATGGATTGGCAAATCGTTGGAGTGATGGTAGGTTTATGGGGTTCGGACAGCATCTGCTCATCAACAATCAGAGCTTTTAGGACTGTCTCCAAAGGAGTCGACATCACTCTCGTTATGCTATTTTTACGGATTTAGACGAACGAATCATGGCGTTGGGGAATCAAACTCTCGTCGACTATATCATGTAGGTAAAAATGAGATAACAACGCGAAGTTACAAGTTTTTTTTTTGAAGGAAAGCAATGGCGGAAAGGTCAAA